AGACTGCGCGGAAGGGGGCGGGCCTGGCGGAGGAGGTGGAAGTGGCATAGCTGGATCCCACCTTGATTGAGAAGCCGATCGAGATCGGGCGGAGACAGGCGTCTCTACTGCACTCGCCGAGGCAGCTCTACGAGCATTAGGTGGTAGTACGGAGGCAAGGCCATCGCCCGGGTCCATAGCGGGGGGGATATTGATCATCAACGGCTGTGGCCTAGAAACAGAGGCTAATGAACGAGAGTCCGGACTAGGAACTGCATCGGTCTGATCTCGGTCCCTTCGCCTTGAGAGTGAAGGCAGGCCGAATCGTCTCTCACGAGATACCCTTCGTTCCGTCGATCCTGGCGGCGGTGGAAAGTTTTGAGAGGCGGCAGGTTCTGGCGACGGTCGGTGGGCACCTGACGGTATACGAACAGCAGACGTGTTGGCGGGAGGAGTCTCGTAATTAGTAGGCGCAGGTCTTTGGCTACGCGGCGGAGAATAGGGCGGCGGAGGCGCTGGAGCAGCAACTTTTATTCAAGTAAATACTATGTCAATACATGGCGGAACGAACACAAATGCTTACCAGGCGGCGCGTCACGAAAAGCGGTCTGCGCAGGATATTGGTGTGACCTTTCCGGACCAACAGCGGGTGAGGGAATCCATTCTTGGGGATTGTACGGCTGTATCGAGCTGGCTGGAGTCACGCCGCCTAGCATGTGCGGTGAAGTCATTGACACAGCAGATCGAGGCGTGTTCATTTGGTTGTGGTAGCCCAGCGTGGACGTCAGTAGGGGATTGAGAGTCTGACGAAGTCGCGAGGTGGTATCACGAGCGCTCGCCATTGTTACCGATGGTTGTCGAGCTCAACGCCCAACACCGGTGGAACAGCGGCGTTTCAATACACGAAAACGATAACACCAAATCTTATTCGTAACTCGCCGTCTTTGCAGCACCGTCAAGACCGTCGAGACGGTTGATACTGTTGTGCCTCCTTCTCACGGCTCGGGTCGCCTTTTCTTTCGCAAGTCCCGTCAACCGCAGCATCAGAGAGTAATGCTGTCACCAATCAGACCCATGACCCAATAATATCCAAACTCGCGAGTTGAGTGACAACAGCAATAATAACAATAATAACAATAACAAAAATAACAGGCGTGTAGAGGGAGATGGAGTAACGTCAAGTTGATTGATGAGCGACAGCAACAAGGCTACAATAACAGGTCAGATTCGCGCCGAATGAGCGGTCGCAAGAAATGAAAAGGAGTGTGCATCAACCAGGTATGTCCTATGTAGGTCGGTACCTGATCAGTGATCACGAATGACAGCGACAGGGCAAAGACATGCCTACCTACATAGCCTACGCATACATACTGTATCTACCTACCTAGGCACTGAATACAACATACTCAGTACTGCTCAGTAGACTGAGTAGAGGGAGTGGGGGTAATCTAGTCTCTTGGCAGATCTTCTGATGCATTGAAACCTCCTGCATAAACTGGTGCGAGCATTGCAGGAGGAGCTAGTCAAGCCAGTCCCATTCTAGACCAAAACCCGTAAGGAGCAGAGAGAGGTTGGGATCGTCTTCGGCCGACCTGCTGTTATTGATCCGAGGCGAGTTGCTCTACAGCATACTATGTAGGAGGTACTTACCAATTGCAAGAACAACAGAGCAAGGAGGTGGCCTGCCTGTTTCGTCTGCAAGTTCAATGTAGCGTTGTTATGCGTACCTACATGTACGTAGACAGTGCTGGGTACATGCTGGTAGGCTGCCTGTAGGCAAGGAGAGGGTACCTACAGCTAGTATGTGAGACAGAATACAGCTACCTAGGTATGTACATCAAGCTACCGTACGCACGTAAGTAGTTACACCAATTCTCTATGTAAGTCGCCGGCTCTTTCTCCCGCACGTAGGGACTAAGATACCTATCTACAACCTATCTGCCAATCCTATCAGCCGAAGCGGACCCCAACCTCAATTTACGGCGGCCGAAAAGAGCAAAAATCAGAAGGCATAGCAGCTGTTGTGCACCAAACCTGCCGCGGGAAGAATGTAACGCCAAGGATATGGCAGTTTAAATCCCTGCCGGACCGTGCTGACGATTGGATATCTCGGCAGCGGACCCTGGTATACCCTAGACCATATATGGACTCTTAATAGTCGGACATGCTTTCATTGGCCCGTCTTTTCAGACCCCTCATCCCCCCTCGTGGTGCCTGGCGCTTACATTACAGCAGCGAGTGATCCAAAAAGGTGATGTTGGTGCAGAAATGGAATGATACCACACCACTACACCTTCTGCAATCACGACCATTCATCTTCAAGATCGAGATCTTCAGCTAGGAATCACTCATACAAGCATTGCTTCCGTGGTCAAATCGAAAAAACCGTATGATTTCCATCATTTTTGATAGGTATCTTGGGGCAGGATTGGGGGGTCAACGTTTTCCCACTACACGTCATAAAATATGAATAAGTTGTCAATCGCCTGCAGTAAGACGGACGGCTCATCACAGGAGCAGGAGCCGCTGCAGTCACCCACCCCTACTAGCTAAGTAGGTAGTCAATAAGCACATTAGTAGACTATAATAACTTTAATATCACAAAAATAAAGTCCACATCTCACGCCGCATATATGAGGCTTTCAACAGCATATCAAGGCCACACTGCTCACCCTGGTAATCGGCGGCGGCATAGTCATTCGGGAATTTCTAACAACCCCAACGGCTTTATTTATATTTCGCTATATATACATACATGCATAGATTTGTTAAGGAAGGATGTCCATCAAAAAAAAAAAAAAAAAAACCACTGAGGGCATGCAAAACAGGCACTTGAAATAAAGTCAAGCAATTACATGTATACTCCGACCCCGCCAAACACCCAGATATTCGGCAACCCTATCTACGGTAGTGCACCGGTGGGCCTGATCCGAAAATAGAAACAAAGTGTGACGAACGGCGTGGGTATCGGCGGAAGCTGTTGGTCAAGATACCTAATGGTCCACTGGCGGAATCCCTCGCTGCAAGTTGAGCTTGATCATATCATAGGGCTCGCACAGCGACCAAGTGTGCCCAGGATTCTATCTACCAATCGCATCGCAACCCATGTGACCCAACATTTTGACATCAAAAAACCTTGCGGCAATCCGAGGCGAGATGTGATGAATGAAAATGTTTGGACAGTGCATGCCGAGGACGAAAATAGAAACGGCGCAAAAGTTTATTCTATAAAGTGGTTAGCGTCTTGTCAAGAGCCGACCGCTTGGGTCTGCACTACCGCGAGTCCAGCTGCCTATGCGTACGTCGCAGACATGCATGATGAACCAAACTTTTTAAGGGCTGCCCGTCATGGTCGAACACAGAAGCAAGCGCTTTCAAGTCAATATGTACTACGACCTCATCGGCATTTGGTTTATAGGCACCCAACTATTCGATCCTAGTTATGCTATGTTGGTAGTTTTAAATTTAGCGACACGAGCGTTATAATCACCTCAAGGCAGCTATTTACGGATTTAAAAACCACCTGCAATATCAATCCAATCTATCTAAGCAGTAACCGAAGTTTAATTTAAACTTCATTCGCCCGCTTAGTCCATACGGAGAGTCGCGATCAACCTGGGGTAGCACTTCATATTAAAGCGCTTAGAAAACGGCGACACTTGGGGATTTGTAAGATTTGGGGGCGAAACGAAACGAGAACTCATCAGGCTCAAACTCATATATTTAATACTTAGACCGAGAGGCGGGTAACTTTCTAAAAAGGGAAGCTCGTTGAGTTGATAGTAGCCTGTCACTAAGCGAACAAATTCTAATCCACATTACATTGTTCCAAGCAAGCCCTCACGGATAGAATCATAGGCAGCAGGTCGTTGAACGGCCCTTACGCATAGCTCAATTTAAAGTCTATTGGGAATTTTGTTCCATGGCGACTTAAGGATTAGAGCATTCAACTTTCTAGGCCCTGATTTACATGATCCGGTACATTCACATTATTCTCGCTTATTGAACCTATTCTTAATACTTCTGATTCTCTACATCCATAGGTAAAGCAAGTATAAGATATTTGTTCAAGCTCTCTCGTTAAAATAGTGGGCTTGTTAGCAAGGCCTTCTTTTTCTGCTATGATTCTTGAATACCCACAACCTTATTATTGATCTTACTAGATTCACCGCAATCCTAGGCAACAGTTAATATACCACGAATATAGAATAATCTTTTAAACTTCATACTACTCCTTCACTACTAAGCATAGTGACTTTGAATTCCTATCTTCTATTCATAGGATCTTGCCATAGGATTTTATATCAAGTTCTAGTTATGTACATGCATAGTTCATGGACTGAAAGTTTTAAGTGCTACTCGTTTATTTAGCATGATGTTATATTGAACGCTCTTTTGGTATCTCCTAATGACCCGAAATCAATAATGATGTGGATATCTAAGGAGTGTTTACACTTCATAACAAACTAGGCATTACTTACACATGTCTCTTTGAAGATACTAGAGGACTCTGTCATAAATTGAATCCTAGTGGTACGATTGCCTACATCAAACTATAATTCTGGCCCTAGTTTTAGCTCATGTAATCCGTCAGGCCACCCTCATATATATGAAGCTCTCTCTTATGGTGGTTTTTCTTGATAATCGATGTTGCGTAACGGACAGCGCTTGACAATGGATGAAATGTGTTAACAAGCATCCCCAAATAATATAGGTAATTAATTGTCTGCGCTGTGTCAATGGTGATAATGAAGTCACTACTTGATATGAATAAAAAACCAACACATATTAAAAAGTAACTTATTTTTTTCCAAAAGTCCCTAGTTGCGGTATACTACCATTAGCATGCTGAGTCAATCTACGAAGAAACCAAAAAAAAGAAACAGATGCATCAGCCGTGAATCGAACACGGGGCCCATCGATGGCAACGATGGATTTTACCACTAAACCACTGATGCTAACATTGTAACTAATTGGAGAAGGCTAGAATGGGGCCTATAATGTCTCCGTAAGTCGGGTGCGGGCTCTTCCGGGATTCGAACCCGGGGCCTCTCGCAATTTGAACCCAAAGCGAGAATCATACCTCTAGACCAAAGAGCCGGTCTTCCTTGTAGAAATAAGATTCAATACTGTGTGAAGAAGGAAAGGGGCTAGGAAAGAAGTGACAGAAATTATTTTAGCTCGCCGATATAGGTAGATGGTCTGTGGAGTCGCCCCGTTGGTACGTGGAGCTGCTAAATCAAACCTGATGACCCTATCAACATCTTCTACTGGAAAACTACTACATATATCATTCAAATTCCTATATATATATGATAATTATATAATAATCATGCGAAGCTTTGTCGTTAATACTAGGGTTGTAAGTTAAGATATGGAGTTCATTTTCGAAATTAAATGTTAAAAGCAACCTAAGTATGGTTTATTTTCTGTTCTCTAAAGCTAGACTGCTCATGGTCTCATTCGCGCAAGGAGATAATATAGAGAGATGTATGCTCTTTTAACGGAACTCATAACGATACGTCTGAAGATTCTCTGGCAGTTTCAACGTTAAAGCTCCTGCAGGCAACCGCTAATATTATACTGTTAGGCCTCACCTATGAAGACCCTCCGTGGTTTGTGTAGGCTTGTTGCTACTTCTATCTGTTATGACCTTAATAGCACTTAAAGACCTATAGATACGGAGGTAGACTAGAGTCAAAATATTGTATTTTCAGCATACAAAGGTGCCTCTTTAGCTTCGCTGTTTAGTTCAAGTGACTGAATGGAAGTGAGACTAGAACGCATTAGGTCTATCCTCTGAATGTTGGTGACAGTGCTATTACTAGCAAAACTTTTCTGTATGTTGACGTTATAAGTATAGGCGGATTGGCATATGAGCTAACTCGATCGGAGAGATTGCGTTGTATCGAGAGTGACTGCTATGTCTTGTGTTATTGGGCTATCTACGCGGGGTCGGACACAGTAAGGTGTGTTGCTACCTAGCTTATATTGCCCACTCTTGCTGTCGCTGTTATGAATCTTTATTACCACTGTAATTATTTACCCATTGCCATTCTTACAACCCTTCCCTAGCGAAATGTCGCCTAATCGCATTCCCGCACCAGATGTTGACCCTTCTCCCTTGGGCCAACCTCTACATTTTCATTTCAGTGGCAGGACAGCTTGTAATCGCCTCCTCAAAGCGGCAATGACAGAGAAACTAGCATCATGGGATCCGGAAAACCAGAGCAGCCGTGGGATCCCTTCAAAGGAGCTCATCAATGTGTACCGCCGGTGGGGTGAGGGCGGCTTCGGTTTGATATTGACGGGAAATATCATGCCATATAGTGATCATCTCGAGGCACCCGGGAATGCTATTGTACCAAAAGGTGCCTCATTCTCGGATGAGCGCTTTGAGAGATTTAGTGACCTTTCCAGAGAAGCTAAGGCTTACGGTAGCCTTATTGTCGCCCAGCTAAGCCATCCAGGCCGCCAGATGTCTAAGGATATGAAGACACAACCCATCTCAGCCAGCGATGTTCGGCTTGAGGGAACGAAGTTGGGTCTGAATTTCGACAAACCGCGACCTATGAGCAAGGGCGACATTATTGACTTTATTGATTCGTTTGCCTTCACTGCTGAATACCTGCACAAGGCAGGATATGACGGGATCCAGCTTCATGGGGCCCAGTGAGTTCCTGCAACCTAGCTTCTTAGGCGCGAATATCATTTAAAATTGACACCATGTAGTGGATATCTGATCGCACAGTTCTTGTCGAAAACAACGAACAAGAGAACCGATGAGTACGGGGGTCCTTTACTAAACCGAGCACGCCTGCTCTTCGAGCTTGTGCGGGAGATTCGTAAACGTGTCAAGGACGAGTCCTTCATCATTGGGATTAAACTTAACAGCGTGGAATTCCAAGACGGAGGCTTCACAACACAAGAATGCCGAGATCTCTGTATCGAACTTGAGAAACATAGAGTGGACTTTGTTGAGCTGTCTGGAGGGACTTTTCAAGAAATACTCTTTTACAAACGGGAAAGTACTCAGAAACGCGAGGCCTTTTTCATTGAATTCGCAGATATGATTGTCCCGCAGCTGAAGAATACGAAAGTTTACGTTACCGGCGGCTTTCGTACAGCGGCTGCCATGACCGAAGCGCTGAAGACAGTGCATGGTGTTGGCCTGGCTCGGCCAGTCGCACATGAGTTCGACTTGGCTAAGAAATTGCTTGAAGGAAAGGCCAAAAGCGCTATAGACTATGGAATTGACGAGCAGGAATTCGAACTTAGCCTCCTTATTGCCGGCACGCAGTAAGTTCTCTTCATTCTCTTTTATAATCCCATGGGTTGTTATTGGTGACTTCTTCAGGCGCTCGCTGCTAATCTTTCTGTTCCGTATCAGGATACGCCTGGTGGGCAAAGATAAGGAGCCGCTTGATCTGGGTAGGCGAGATCATAAAGATGCCTTTGACAAGGCCCTGCAGCAGTTTCGGGAAGAGATGACGGACAATGAGGACCAGTCGAAGTACGGGTATATGGATATTGATGGTATCGAACTCAAGCCTTATAGCACATTCTAAGGGATAGCACTGGACTACGCAATAAATAATACTTAAGCGTATACATGGGTTACATAACTGTCTTCCAAACGTCAAGATAGGATATGTTAGATGCCAGATGGCTTGGTCATTAAATAGTATGTTGTTATTAAGCTAGAGTCATGACGCTGTTTGAATATGAGACTAGGACACCAGGGAGTTCTGTAGACGATACAATAGAGCGGAAGCCGGTGCTTCCAGCGTATATCATATTTACCGCCTTGGCCGCCGGTCCGTGCTGGCTGAGTTGCGTTGGAAGACTCGAACTAGGAATGACGTTCATGAAGCTTAACGTGATCAATAACTACACTGTGGGCAGGTTCTAATTTAGAATGGGGATATATGAGCTAGATGTTAGGCTTACGGCTGCTCTCTACGAGAGATTGTTGGATCCACCGATAAATGCCCCGTCCATTAATGATACCGCATCGTGCCCACAGGAAATTGCGCGTTCACGGGTACGTACAGGGCACTGGAAGTGTGTTCTTCAGTGCAGGATATATCCAATCCGATCACGACAACTATGCTTAGATGAAGAGCTCACAACAGTTTTTATTTAGAGATATACTTAAGCTATTATTACTATTGATGAGGATTTGATGCCGCCGGTCTACATTCAATGTACTCCTCGCATTGAAGATCCCTATCTCAACGCTACATGTGAGGAGAGCATGCGCTCAGCAGGTACTGCTAAAGCCAGCCTCCTACAAGCCATAGTAGACACCGAGATTCTCGGTTACAAGGTACCGAAGGGGGCCGAGATATTTATGAATTATCACATTAATAGACCGCCTGCTGCAGTCGACGAACTAAAACACAGTAAGAGTAGTTAATCTGCCAACGCCAAACGTGGTGAAGGGTTCCAAGGCAGGGCAGGTCTCGACCTACATCTCTTCGATCCGGAAAGGTGGCTTGAGAAGAGCGAAGGAACTGAAAAGGAGAAATGCAATGCCTATGCATTGCCGCAACTCGCGTTTGGAGGCGGTTACCGCGGCTGCTCCGGTAAGTTCACTTTTAGTATCTATCTACCCTATGGGCCCGAGGTTTCCCAAACCACTCTGTTTAGACAAGCATACTTCATCAGGCAGTTGCTATTTGGTGCACAATATATAGCTCGCTAATGGCTCGAGTAACTATAGGTCGCAAGCTCGCAACAATAGAATTCCGTATTATAGTCGTACTTCCCATCATGAATCTGGGATTCCTAGAGCTACTTGAAGAATTCAAGACTCCAACGGCCATAGAGAGGATCTTCCGAGAGCCATAAATCCCATATGCAAAGCTCCGAGTTCTCTGGTGCGGGTATTCAAACCAAATAGCCTTAGAAGCTTTTTAGGTCTCTACTCAGTCATAGATACTTCCGACTAAGCCATGCGGAACAGCGGTAGCATTGGTGGCTTTCATGTTTTAGTGTGTATTTGAATTTCGCACTAATAGAACTAATCTCAATATTGTTTTTTATATTAAATGCGTTTGTCCGGTGACTTGCGTGAAAATTTCTCCTAATGCCTGTCTCCGAGTGTTTTTCAACCCGATGTCTTAGTTGATCAGGGAGAATAGGAGATATCTCGTCCAGTTAGGTGTCTCTTGGGGTGAAGGGCATTCGCTCTTCTGTTTGCACGGCCAGTTTGGGGCTGAGCGGTGGTGAGGCTCCGAAGAGCGGTCGGTTAGGCATACCAGTGACAACTTTTAACAACGATATCGGTTGTGATCAATCGAGATGAGCTGTTCCTCGTAGTCCCTTATTTCAACAAATAGGATAGGATATGTTAAGAGCGCTACACCTTTATACTAGACGAGGTAGCGTTGAAGATTGTAGTGGTGATCTGTACTTGATACAAGTTATATACGCTGGCAATATTATTTATTAAGAAGACTACGCAATCTCGCAGTCCAATGTATTACTCAACTGCAAGATATCCAAAGCTAAACTCGTATTATATGATGCTTAACCACTCCATCGCAACTAAAATCTCCGGGTTTCGTGTGAATTGATTCGAACCCCATCATAGTAAGGTTTTGAGGAGAACCATGACTGGAGCTGGAGAGCACCTTGTGATAGAAGGTACGGGGCAAATAGCCGACATCTATAACAAAGAGACTTTGTATATAGGTAGCCCAGCCTCCCTTTCAACCCGATCTACCTTCCGGTGCTCTCAAACACCAAGCCATCCCTCAATACCCTGCCTACAATGCCGCACAATTGAAGCTCTTGGCCCGATCATTCCATCCCACCACTTTCAAGTCAGCATACCCAGGGTAATATAGCTGCAGCTCCGCTCCGGTGCAGCCCTCGTTCCTATGCCCTCGTCAGCAGCCATCTTGTAGCCTCCCACCTCGAGGCGCTATCGCTACAGTACTTACTCGTACAACGTGCACCAATTTCCAGGATCAGGCCCGGCAGACGAGACGCCACGTGCGTCAGTCGGAAAGCGGTCGGTGATAGTTGCTAAGTTCCCATTCAGCACATAGTCTGGTCCGATTGACCGTCTCAAAACGGGGCCAAGGCACTTA